GAGAGAGAGAGAAAGGGGGTGGATTTGGGGTTACCCAATAGTGATTCGACTCTTCATTTGTTTTGTCTGACAGAGTGCTATGCAGCCCAGTTCACTGTATCAAGGATATCCTTGAGTTCCAATCCTCCTGCTTCCATCTCCCTAGTGCTGGGATTAGATAACAGGCATGTACTACTTTGTTTAGCTTTTTAGACCCACGATGGCCTTACACTCATAGCAATCCTCCTGCTCCAGACTACCAATTGCTAGGATTACAGACATGAGACAGAATGCCTGGCTGATAATTCATTTCTTTTAGACACGTTTCAAACAATAAAATGTGGGCCTTTTTGTTTTTGTTTTTTTCCTTTAAAAACTGTTAGTGGACACCATGACCCTAATGAAGCTAATATAAATGTGAGAAGTCTCAGGGCTGCCACCTCCAGGTGCTACTAGGGATTGCAGATGTCTCTGAAACCACTCAGTGTGATTTAAAATTTTTTTTTAATTATTTTTACTTTATGTGTATGAGCGCATTGTTTGCATGTAGGTCGTGCAATGCTCATGGAGGTCAGAAGAGCAGAAGAGGACATCAGATCCTCTGGAACTGGAGTTAAGGACAGTTGTCAGCAGCCACGTGGGCTCTGGGATTCAAACCCGGGTCCTCTGCAAAAGCAGCCAGTGCGCTTAACCGCTGAGCCATCACTCCAACTCCTCTAGTGTGATTTTTAAAATGTTAAAATCTATTTCTTTTTTTTAAATTATTGATTTGTAGGGGCACACACATGCAATAGCATGTTTATGAGGGAGTCAGAGGACAACTTTTGGGAGTTGTTCTTGCCTTCCATCTTGTTGAGGCAGAGTCTCTCTTACTGTTATGGTGTACTCCAGACTAGCTGGCCTACAGGCTTCTGTGAGATTCTCGTCTCTGCTTCCCATCTCGCCATAGGAGTGCTGGGATTACAGATGGAAGCCACTGTATACAGCTCTTTATGGGTTCCAGGACCAAACTCAAGCCACTGGATCGTGGGGCAAGTACTTTTAACTGCTGAGCCACCTAAGTTGTCCTGCTGTTTCTTCTTCCTCTTTTGTTTTTGCTTTATTTTAAACAGGATCTCATGTAGTCTAGATTGGCCTTGAACTTGCTATGTAGTTGCTGAGGCTAGCCTTGAATTCCTACTCCTTCTACCACCTGATTGTCAGTATTACAGATGTGCACCACAATGCTTAGGTGTGTCTGTTTCTTCCTTTTTTGTTCTTTTAGATAGGGTCTCCCTGTGGCCCCACCTGGCCTGGCACTCTCTATGTAGACCAGGCTGGCCTTGAACTCACTGAGATCTGCCTGCCTCTGCCTCTCTGTCTCCTGAGCACTGGGATTAAAGGTGTGCACTAACACACCCCGCCTGTTCCTTTCTTTTTTAAAAGCTTGAGTGTTTTGCTTGCATGTAAGTGAATGACATACATGCAGTGCCCACAGAAGCCAGAAGAGGGTATCAGATCCCCTGAAGCTGGAGTTATGGACAGTTGTGAGTTGCCATGTGTGTGCTGGGAAGTGAACCCAGGTTCTCTGCAAGAGCATCAAGTACTCTTGCTTTCCAACCCTGACTCTTAATTTAGAAACTTTTGACTCTCTACCGGGAAATTTACTGTCATTTACACTTTCACTTCTATCAACTTCAACTCAAAATTTTGTTAATTTTATATCTTCTAGGGGCTCCTTTTTGTCTAAATATTACATCTAAAGTTCTGTGTAGCTGAGCATGCTAAGGCAGGAACAGTGACATGAGTTCAAGGTCAGCCTGGGCTACATAGGTACATAAATCTTGTCTCAAAAATAAACCTCTAACAAAATAATGAAGCTCTGTCATGATTAAGCCCCTTTTACAAGTACCTACTTATCCCTGGAATGAAGCTGAGGCTATTAATGATTCTACGTTTATCCATCTTGTTCCTCCTTCATACTTTTTGGTGGTGTATCTTTTGGGGGGTGAGGGGTTGGATTTTTTGAAACAGGGTCTCCTTGTAGCCCCACATGGCCTGGAGTGCTGAGAGTAAAGATGTGCACCACCATATCTGGGTAAAGAATCACTAAATTTTTTTAAAATTACATTTGTGTGTTCATGTGCACAAATGTTTGTGTCATGGTGGAGTATGTGTAGAAGTCAGAGGATAACTTTTGAGGAGTCAGTTCTTGCCTTCTACCATGTGGGTCCTGGGGATTAAACTCAAGTTGTCAGGCTTGGCACTGGGCACATTTACCCACTGAACCATCTCACTGTTCTTAGTGTATAATTTTTGCATTGCTATGGTGCATAATAAATCTTCCATGTGGATCAGCTGGTTTATTTTAAACATTAAAGACTAAAATATTCATCTACAATATGGTTGTTAATTATTCATGTCACAGCAAAAGTCACATAGTTGAGGGACTGGTGAGATGGCTCAGCAGTTAAGAGCACTGGCTACTCTTGCAGAGGACCGGTGTTCTGTTCCCAGCACCCACATGGCAGCTAACAACTGTCTGTAACTCCAGTTCCAGGTGATTTGATGCTCTCTTCTGACCTCTGCAGGCACTGCTCACATTGGTGCACTTACATAAATGCAGGCACAACCCATACACATAAAATAAAAATAATTAAAAAAAACAGTTGAGGGGCTGGAGAGATGGCTCAGCTGTTCAGATCATTGACTGCTCTTGCAGAAGACCCAGGTTCTAGTCCCAGCATCCACATGGTGGCTAACAACCATCTGTAACTTCAGATCCAGGGGATCCAACACCCTCTTCTGACTTCTGAAGGTAATGTATGACACAGGTGCACTTACACACATGCAGGCAATACACTCATACACATAAAATTAAAATTAAGGTGGGATGTGATGGTGCATGCCTTTAATCCCAGCACTTGGGAGATAGAGGCAGGCAGATCTCTGTGAGTTCAAGGCCAGCCTGGTCTACATAGCGAGTTCCAGGCCAGCTGGGGCTATAGGGAGACCCTGTCTCAAAAAGACCAATAAATAAATAAATAAATAAAATTAAAATAATAAATATTTTTGAAAATCATTCAGTTGAATTCAAAGGGAAAAATAAACACATACCCCTTTTTCCTTGGTTTCCTTTTAGTTTACTATTCAAAAAAAGTCTCAGGTGGTGCATGCCTATAATCCCAGAATTTGAGAGAAGCAGGATTACTTCAAGTACAAGGTTAGTTTGGTCTATCTACAAAGCGAATAACAGGTCAGCCATGGCTATATAATAAAACCCCAGTTCAGTAATAACAACAACAACAATAATAATGTAAAGCAACAACAACATTGTAAAAAGCCCAACATACATAAAAGCCATGTCAGTAGAAGTTGAATTTATTTTGTAGAATAATCCAGATACTCAGGGGTAGCTTTAAAACTTGCGAGTTTTAGGGCTAGAGAGATGGCTCAGCGGTTAAGAGCACTGACTGGTCTTCCAGAAGACCAGAGTTCAATTCCCAGCACCCACATGGCGCCTATTAACTGTCCTTAACTCCAGCTCCAGGGGAATCCGAAGCCGCCTTCTGATCTCCATGGCATTGCACAACACGGGTGTACTCACATACATGTGGGCAATACACTCATACACATAAAATAAAAATAATAAAATATTTTTTTAAAAAACGAGTTTTTTGGTGGGTGTGGTGGCACACACCTTTAATCACAGCACTTGGAAGGCAGAGGCAGGCGGATCTCTTATGAGTTCAAGGCCAGCCTGGTCTACAAAGTGAGTTCTAGGCCAGCTGGGGCTACAGAGAGACCATCTCAAAAAGACCAAAAAACAAAAAAAAACAAAAAAAACCATGAGTTTTCTTTTAATTTTTTTTTATTACATTTTACTTATTTTGGGAGTTGGTTCTATCCTTCTACCATGTGACTCCTGGGTATCAAACTTAGGTCATCACACTTGCAGGAAGCACCTTTACCTGACAAGCCACCCTCCTGGCCCCTCAAGTGTTTTTGGTTTAGGCACTGGAGAGAAGAGGACCTAGGTTCAGGCCTCAGCATCTACATGGTGACTAAGCATCTGTAACTCTAGTAGCAGGGAATCTGATGCCCTCTTATGACTTCCACAGGCACTGCACATCCTTGGTGCACCTACATACATGCAGGCAAAACAATCATATACACATAAAATAAAAATAATTAATCTTTAAAAAGTTAAAAAAAAATTTTAAATTTATTTTTGTGTATGAGTGCTTAGCCTGCTGCATGTTAAGTATACTACATGTATGCAATACTCTTGGAGATCAGAAGAGGGCAATGGATCCCCTGGAACTGGAATTATAGGCAGTTGCTTGCCACCATATGGGTGCCAGAAACCTAACCCAGGTCCTCTGCAAGGGCAGCCAGTGCTCTTAACGGTTGAGACACCTCTCCAGCCCCTGTTTTGTTTTTTGAGACAGGGTTTCATTATGTAGCCATGGCTGGTATGGAATACCTTGAACTGACCTTGAACTCATGGGTGATCCTCCTGCCTCTGCCTAAAAATCACAACTTTTTAATAACATTGAGTTGTTCAGAGGTGTTATGTACCAGAGCACATATTGATGGTTATCTGGAAACATAGGTGATTAAAAAAAAAAAAAAAGTAAGAAAATGCTAACTGCAGAATCTAGGCAGTGGACGCTTGTTTGTCCACTGCAATTCTTCTGACTTTTCTGAACGGTCGAAAACTTTCCTAACACGCTGGGAACGCGGCTTGCACCCCTGAAAGCAGAGGCATACTCAACTTTTAGTTTCTGGAAGGTATAATTTCATCAATTGTTTGCAGAGTTCTTTGGGGAATCACAAGTTTTCACAGCTCACTCACGCAGTGCCCCAGACTTCCTTGGTTAGAAAATATTTTTATTTACACAACCCAGCAGGCTTTTACCAATATGTAAAGTCGATGGCTCGAACTATGCAATTACCACGCTGACGGTGCGTCCCAGTCATTTACTCGGCCTTCAGGAAGCGGCGCTTAGGACACAGGAGAGGTCAGGGCAGGTTCTGCGGGCCTCGGCAGCCTAGTAACCGGAAATGCTTGACAGAAGACAGATTTCAGCGACCCCTCATCAGAACATTACAAACGCACTACTACCATCTATCCTAGCAGGAGGAGGCAGTGAGTCACTAGGGGGCTGGGGTCTGAATCCTAACACTGTGAAACCGGGATCCTGATGCTCCACTTAAAGGGCTGCTGAGCGCCAAACAAAACGACAGACCTACCATTATCATGATTATTAACCACCTGACAAGTCATCATTGTGACACGGAGGACGCTGAGCCAGTTGTCTCAACCGTTTCCGTTTGGAGTTCTGAGGGGAGATCTGATAGAAATTCCTCAGCTCTAGAAGTCTCTTGAGAAGAGCAGTCGCTAAAGTCCCAGAAACTCAATCCCGCAGCCTTCCAGTGCGCCGTGTCAATCTTGCACACGCCGGCTCTTCGAGGTAAATGGACTGTTCCATTACTAAGGGGTGCTGACGATGACGGACTTAGAAACCTGGCTCTACAAATGCAGCTGATTCTCAAGTATTCCACCCGGTTAATAGCTCTTGTAGATATTGTAGTTTTATCTCTATGGTTGCGACAAGCTTATGATAAACCTGTGTTTGGACGGTTCGATAATCCAGGTTCCCCTCCGCAATGAGCGCGTTAGGACTGGCCGGCGTGACGCCCGGGTACGGAAGCCTAGAAGGCCCGGCCATCCTGCCCCGGCTCCGCCCTGCCCCGCCTTCCGCTCACCGCTGGTTCCCCGCCCGGCGGCATCGCGGGGCAGCTCCTCCTCTTTTCCGCCCCGCCTGCCGCGGGCTGTGGGGAACGTCAGCGTTGCCAGCGTGGAAACCGCTGCGGGCCGCGGGAGGCGGAAGTAGCGCCCGGGACCGCGGACCCATCACCGGACGCCGCCGGCCGTCCCAGCCATGGACACGTCTCTGGAGAAGGTCGGTCCGCGGGGAACCCGGGGCGGCGCTGCGGACTCGGGTCTCCGCCTCCAGGGCGACTGTTTCCTGCGAGCTGCCATTGTGACCCGGGGAAGGAAGGGGTCTGGGGACTAACGGGCTTCTCCTGAGGAGGGCAGGCGGCCAGGGCGTCCGGCCAGGGCCTGGTCACGTCATGGGGCTGGGTGTCTGAGGGAGGCTGGGCCGGGTTCTGTCGGAACCGACCTTGGCTTTGCAGAGGTTCGGCTTGGGGCCGGGCTTGAGCCCTGGCTGGCCCTCTGGGGTGACAGGAGCTATGTGTGAGGGCCCCAGCCCCTCCTGGAAGAAGCCCCTGTGGTCCCGGAGCCAACTGCAAAGCTTCAGATTTTCAGTGATTTCCAAGTTAGGAAAAATTGTGAACTTCCGCGTGCGTAGGAATCACCTGGAACCCTGGAAAAATCAGATTTTCAGCCTTGGGGCCGAGCCTCGGGTGGGCGGGGACTCAGAGCTGGGTCTTTGAGAAGGTGCCCCACGTGATTCCGATGCCGCAGCCTGTGAACTCCGGGCCAGAACCTCTAGGACCCAGAAAAGGGTGGGTGTTCTAGAAATCGTGAATTAGGCTTGGGGATCTCAGCTGTCTTACAACTTTTTGGGTCCCTCTTTCTGATAACCACGAGAGGCCCTCGAGGCAACCTGAGGCCATTGCCTAATTTTGGCCTCTCCTTGGAGCAATAGCAGCTTGGTGTACCTGGCTGACCTGCTCTGGTGTGCGGAATGGGTTCTAATTGTTTCCACCTTGGGGCTGGTGAATGAGAACAAGTGCTTGGGGTTTCTTCATGGATGCCTGCTTTCATTACGTGACATTCTGTTCTCAGAGTCCTTTCTGTCCCTTCTTCAAATTCTGCTTATCCAGTGTGATATAAACCTTGTTTTTCCTACATGTGGAATTCTCATTCTCTCTCTCTCTCTCTCTCTCTCTCTCTCTCGCTCGCTCGCTCGCTCGCTCGCTCGCTCGCTCGCTCGTCTTGCGAAGTAGCCTGGGGGGCCTGGAACTCGCTGTATAGTCCAGAATGACCTCAAATTTCAGCGATTCTCCTTGCTTCTGCCTCCCAAGTTTGCTGGGATTTTCTTTTTTCAGAGAAGCAGCTGTTGTAGTTTTGTTGACTTGTCACTGGAGAGCTTGTAGAAGTTGAACCACGTGTCTTCATGTACACAGAGTGGCATATCCTGCTTCTTAGCTATTTAGCATAAATTGGGTAGAATTACCGATCAGGAAAAAGAAAAAAAAAGTTTTTTCTTGAGGCTTCTGATTAGGGTAGTGTCCCCTTTTGGGTATTGCAGTTTCATGAAAGATTAGTGATTCTCAACCCTGGGACAGGTTCGTTCCCCAGGGGACATTTGGCAACTTCTGGAGATGTTTAAGATCATCACAGGGAGGAGGTGCTAGTATGTAGTAGGAAGAGCCCAGGATGCTGTTGATTATTGTGGATTGCACAAAACAACCCGACTCATCAGAGAATTATTTTGTTCAAAATATCAGTAGTGCTGAAGCTGAGAAATTGGTTGAGGTCCTATGTGTAACACCAGTAGGTGAATATAAAATGATGCTAAAAATGTCCTTTCTGTGTTGTTCCCAATTTCTGAAGAAGGTGGAGTGAACTTTATGTCATTTGGGCTAGAAACTTAAAAGAACTGAGATGGTTTTCCCTCTGAGAATAGTTCTTCATAGGCAAATCTGCAAAATGAAAGTGGGTAGGGATCTTGCTATAAATGTTATTTTTCTGATACTGTTTAGTTTTCTAAGTGTTAATTGATGATAAAAGGTCTTGAACTGTGCTGAAGAGATGGCTCAGCGGTTAAGAACATTGGTTGTTCTTGCAGAAGACCTGGGTTCGAATCCCAGCAGCCACATGGCAGCTAACAGCTATCTGTAACTCCAGTCCTACGGGATTCAACAGCCTCTTCTGACCTCCATGGGCGTTGCATGACACGGGTCCACTCGCCTACATGCAGGCAATACACACATACACATAAAAAATAAAAATAATAAATTTTTTTTAAAAAAAGGTCTTGAACTTTCTACATGAGGATATGAAGAAGTACTGAAACTAGCATGTTTAAGAATGAAACATTCACAAAAATTGCGTTGAACTTTTAGGAGTTCAGAATATGTGCACTGGAAAATCTTGTTTGTAGACGAGTATGAAAATTATAAATGTAACATTTATTTTTCAGTAGCTGGGGCTTTTTAGTTTTTATATTCTATGAAGTAATAGAGAACCTGAACTATAGTAAATAATCTCTGTTAATAGTAAGTGGGCAGAAAAGAAAGGGCATTGCTGTAAGATGAATTTGGATGATTTTGTGCACTGAAAAATAGTTTGAGTGGAAGTAAAACATTGAATTGTGTCCATTATTTCTGTTTCTCTGAGAACTAGATAATTCTGGATTAGATTACATTGCTAATATAAATTTGAGAACACTTTGAGTAGTACTGAATGATCCTGCTTAAACTGATCCTTGCATAATTTATAGAGCCACAGAAACCACAACGTTATTTGATACTCATCCTCTGAAGTTTCAGTATATCTTTCTCTGGGATGTACTATGTGATCACTCAGTAGAATCACTCCATACATTTCCTTTGGTCAAAATATAGCTCTGTACCCTCGCTTTTTCTTTAGGTAATATGTATACATGCAGCTTTGCCATGATGGCCATTTTTCTTGAATTGTTTTTTCTTCCATAATGATATCTGTTCTTTTTTATCTAAAATGAATGATGATTCCACATCAGGTAGGCTAATTGAGGGGACAAGGAATTCAGACTAAGAGAGTGAAAAGAGGGACTGGAGACCTCCACCCCCAGCACTGTATGTTCAACACATAAGAAACAAAGTCCTGGATAATAGTTTTAAATACTTTATTATTTTTATTTCAGTGTATGAGTGTATTGCCTTCTTGTGTGTAAGTGCAACTGTGTAATATCCTGCAATACCCACAGAGGTCAGAAGAGAGCATCAGATCCCCTGGAACTGAAGTTCTTAGCCACCATGTGGGTGCTGGGGACCAAACCCAGATCCTCTGTAAGAGCAGTCAGTGTTCTTAACTATGGAATGAGCCATCTCTCCAGCCCCCTGGATAATAGTTTTCAATGCTACATTAATATTCAAGTAAAAACTCTCACAGGAAGTAATTCTTTGGTGGTGATGGATCTTTCATTTATTCATCACATACACTTTCAGTAAAAACTTGATGCTTTAAACCTTTTCCTATTGAATGAAAAATCTCACTCTTCCTGGTTATTATGTTTAGACAAGGTGTGCTGCAATTTGTTTTATGTTTGCTTTAACTCCATCCTTGAGTAAACTTAGAGCGGAGTTTCTCAAGTTCCTCGCTGCTGACATTTGTACTAGCTGTTTCTTCCTTGTGGGAGACAGTACAACATGTTTAGCAGCATCCCTGACCTCCATCCACTACATGCTAGCAGTCACTCCCTCCAGCTGTGACAACTAAAAATGACTGCAGATGGAGGCAGTTACCCCCTGGGGATGGGAGGAATTGCCTTGGTTAGAAATCATTAACTGAGAGAATCCAGAGGTGCAGTGCTCAATTGGGGAGCCACTAGTGACACTTATCTATTTAATTCTAGATGAACTGAAATTAAATAAAATGGGTAATTTGTTTCCTTACTCATCCTAGCTATATTCCCAGTGCTCAGCTGTCACATATGGCTTGTGACTGCCATATAAGGCGGCATAGGTCTAGACCATTTTCATCACCAGTGCAGGAGAGCTGGGTGGTTTAAGTAACTTGCTATTTCTTAACTCTGAAAGAGGCAGCTTCAAACCTGCTTTCAACTTAAGCACTTACAATTCAGCCCACTGTTAACTTTTTAAAAATGTATTAATTTTTAAAAAATTTTTAGTTTTTTTTGTTTTTGTTTTTTGAGACAGGGTCTTTCTGTAGCCCCAGCTGGCTTGGAACTTGCTATGTAGACCAGGCTGGCCTTGATCTCACAGATCTGCCTGCCTCTGCCTCCTGACTACTGGGATTAAAGGTGTGCACCACCATTCCTGGCCTTGTTTTTCTTTTTGCAGATCAGGGTCTTGTATCCCAAGCTGCCTCACTATGTAGCCAAGGATGATCTTGAACTCAAGATCTTCCTGCCTCCACCTCATGAGTGCTGGGATTACAGGCATGTGCCATCATATTCAACTATATTTGGTAAGGAGGATTGAACCCAGGGTCCTGTAGGTACTATGTAAGTACTCTGAGCTATGTCACCAACCCCTACTTTTTGTTCTTGACCTAACCTCAAACTAAAAATTTCCCCCTTTGGTTCTGATTTCAAAACATCTTTTATCACCTTGCTGTTAGAAGTTTGTAGGTAGGTGTAGAAGTAGCATGAGTAAAACAGTCTTGATCATTACTGATAAGGATAGCCAAACCATCTATCCCTGATGTTAAAAATCATGAGAGGGCTGGAGAACTGGCTCAGCAACCAAGAGTACTGGCTGTTCTTACAGAGGATCTAGGTTCAGTTCCCATCACCTGCATGGCAGCTAACAACCATCCTTAACGCCTGTTCCAGGGGCTCCAATGCCCTCTTCTGACCTCCTTGGGGATTGCATGACACGGGAGCACTTACATACCATGCAAGTGAAACACTCATACATGTAAAATAAAAATTTAAAAATGTTAAAAACATAAGAATCCCTCTGAGGCAGCTTTAAACCACTAGTTTCTAGCTGGGTTTGGTGGTGTACACCTTTAATCCCAGCAGGAGGCAGAGGCAGGCAAATGTCTGTGAATTCAAGGCCAGCCTGGTCTACATAGTGAGTTCCAGGCCAGCTGGGGCTACAGAGAGATCCTGTTTCAAAAAGACCAAAAAAAAAACAAAAAAAAAAAAACAAAAGAAAAAAGATTTATGTTTCATTTTCTTACTTAGTGCAACAAAAGATGAAGCCCTGTCTTTACTACCTCACTCGAGGTCAAACTGGCCTTGAATTCCTGATCCTCCTG